CCTGTCTACCTGCGACTCCACTTTCAAGGAGCTACAAACCTGCTCCCCAAGGTCTCTTTGTTCAGCAACACTCCCCAGGACCTTCCCATTAAGTGTATAAGTCCTGCTCTGATTTGTCTTTCCAAAATGCAACACCTCACATTTACCTAAATTAATCTCCATCTGCCACTCCTCGGCCCATTGGCCCATCTGATCAAGATCCTGTTGTACTCTGAGGTAACCTTCTTCGCTGTCCACTACAACACCAATTTCACTGCCATCTGCAAATTTACTAACCATACCTCCTATGTTCACATCCATAACATTCCTAGAAATGACGAGATGCAGTGGACCCAGCACCGCTTTGCGGCACACCACTGGTCACAGGTCTCCACCGCCACCCTCTGTCTCCTACCTTCGAGCCACTTTTGCATCCACATTGCTAGCTGTCCCTGGATTCTATGTGATCTAACCTTGCTAAAGTCCATATAGACCACGTCCATCTGCCTTCGATCTTCTTCCGTCACCTCTTCAAAAAACTCCATCAATTTAGTGATACACAATTTCCCACGCACAAATCCATGTTGACTATCCCTAATCAGTCCTTGCCTTTCCAAATACATGTAAATCCTTTCCCTCAGGATTCCCTCCAACAGCTTGCCCACCGCTGATATCAGGCTCATCGATCTATAGTTCACTGGCTTTTCTTTATCACCTTTCTTAAATAACAGCACGTTAGCCGACTCCTAGTCTTCTGGCACCTCACCTGTGGCTATCGATGATACAAATATCTCAGCGAGTGGTCCAGCAATCTCTTCCCTGGCTTCCCACAAAGTTCTACCCTTCCTGATTCCCCTCAAGTATATTCCTACTGACCTTACACTGAGGGATTCACTGGATCCCAGCTGCCTATACCTAACGTGCCCCCTCCTTATTCTCAGTTTCTCCAGTCATCCAGTATTCCCTGCACTTACCAGCCTGTACTTTAGAGGAACATGCTGCCTTTGGGCACACATTAGCTGTGGAGGCCTCCCAGTTTCCAACTGTCCCTTTACCTGCGACTCTCCCAATCAGCTTTAGAAAGTTTTGGCCTAATTCCATCAAAGTTTTCCTGGTCTCTCCCACCCCCCAACTCTGCAGTTGCCCCCCTCCTCCATGTCTCATCTAGGACAGCCGAGTCTCACGTGCCTCATGCTGGGTAAGCAGAAACTCTCCAATGTATTACTCAAGCACAGGGCCAGCAGAGGGGAAATGACTCTGCAAACTTCACGCCGAGCACACAGGATATGGGCACACAGCGACACTCTCAGAGTCACCACTCCACTGCGAGGTACCACTCTGCCCGCTGAGGCTGTGCTGGTCCTCCGCATGGCAATCTAAACACTCCAAACCTCCAGCTCCCGAGTTGGCTTACAAGGAGATATTGAGTAGACGTGGAACTATACTCACTGGAATTTAGAAGAACGAGGGGTGGAATCTTAGAGAAACATATATAATTAGGAAGGGAATAGATAATATAGAAGTAGGGAGGCTGTTCCCGCTGGCAGGTGAAACTAGAACGAGGGGGCACAGCCTCAAAATAAGGGGTGGGGGGGGGAAGCAGACTTAGGACTAAGTTGAGGAGGAAATTCCCTGCCCAGTGACACAATGTTTTTAAAGGCAAAGATGAATTTTTGAACAGTAAAGGAATTAAGGGTTATGGTGAGCAGGAGGGTAAGTGGAGCTGAGTCCATGAAAAGCTCAGCCATGATCTTATTGAACAGTGGAGCAGGCTCGACGGGCCAGATGGCCTCTTCCTACTCCTGGTTGTTATGTTCAGTGGGGATAAGGATGTGGGGAGAGGCAGAGGGGGAAGCCAGGGACTGTAAAGAGGGAG